TAGCATGCTCTTCTGGTGTACTTTGTATTATTCTTTTTCCAATCGTTTATTTTTCTGGCATTATTTCATTGTCCAAGATGTAACTGACGAAGGAAAAGAGCAATGATCGCAATGTTGCAGGTCTTCGGGATTATCTCCTGTTTTTTTCCGTGAATCAGTGCGTTGTGCTGGTTTTAGGCAAATTGCTTGACAATATTGTGGTCCCTTTTTCGCATTGCTTGCGTGCTTGTTAGTTCCCCACTCCCAAACTACTCACATTTCATTTAGGTGGGGAATTGGCCGTTATAAAGTAAGTAGGGTTTGTTAACCCGCAATTGTCTGCGGCAAGAAAATATTAAATTAATTCGATCAAACCGAGCCATCAAAAACTTCCGTGTTTGTAATATCCGCGACGCATGTTTCTCAATGTCATTCTAACTGATTGAAAATGGCTAAATGCGCCCGCGCAGGCGCCCAGTACCGACCAACAGCGTGGTTTGGGCCTCTCTCCGTGCCGGGAGCGTCCGGCACCGCTTCAAGAGGACCGGCACGGGCAGTCGATCCGCGGCGCCGAGACCGTCGGGAGCAGCTCCGCCGGAGCGAGTGGAGGTGGGCGCCAGGGTGCAGCGTGCGGGGATTGAGTGCCGTACTCATGGGCGCTCGCGCAGTGGGTGATCCGGAGTAGAGGAACATAACAAACGTCTCCATGCGATGCTGGCCAAGCTCAAGCAGTGCCGGTCAGCATCCTATGCTGCAGGGCTCGCTGCAAGACCGGGGAGAAACGCCACGTGCATCAGCGCTAAGCCAATGGCAACGTTGCACCGCCGCTCCGTCAACCTTCGTGGCCAGGCCCGTGTATTCGCTGATCGACCTACCAAAATGGCCAGGGCTGCGGAGCACGGCTTAAGTGCAGCAGATGGTCAACGAATAGCTGCATCCTATAGCCTCAACGAGACCATAGCACTGCGAATCGTGCCCTTGGACGATAGCAGTAGCGCAGGCAGAGTAGGGGGGGGGGGGGGGGGGGGACAGGGAGCATGTGTCCCGTAGGTTTCAAGGGGCCTTTCGGGTCCCTTGAAACCTACGATTGAGGGCCCGACTTGGCGGCTCGGTGGGTCCGAAAGCAGAGGTCGTATTCAGGGGCCCTCCAATGCTAGCTAAAGGGCCATGCGCGCTGATCCGGACCCCCTGAGTTCATAAGCGTCTAAATTTCGGTCAGACGCCAACGCACTGTCGACTCCGTGGCGGCGTGGGTCTGGGGGCTCCTTCCAAGCAGGGACAAAGCCGGAGCGAGTGATTCACATTGGTCAGGGCCCCAGCGTCTATCAGGGCCCCACAGTGCGTAATATGGGCCCTGTGTTGGCAACGGACCTCGATTCGAGCCGAGACAGTGTTCGAGAAGGCCACAAGAGCCTGGAGGGCCCACTGGGTCTGATGATTCAAGGCCCGAAAGGAGGGTCTAAGGAAAAGAAGGGCTGGTCGGAGTCCTATTCATGAGCCCTGGTCTGTGCGGACGGGCGCTCAGATGGCAGTCATAGGACCCTTTGCGCCGATCAGGGACCCCCTCAGTCAATATGGGCCCATACGTCCGTCAGGCACCGCCAGTACCGCGCAGTAGTACGCAGTAGTCCGTGTTGGTATCGGTCTGAGAAACTACTTCCCGACCAGCTACAAAGCCGGGGCCGGAGTTTTACACTGACCGGGACCTTGTACCTCTCAGGGTCCCACAGCGCCGAAAAGAACGTCCTGTGCTAACAAGGGCTCCGAGCCAACAATAAGCAGTGTTTGATGAACCCAGAGGTGCTTGGGCGGCCCAACGGAACTGACTATCAAAGGCCCGGTTGGAGGGTGTAAGGGCCCGAAGGACTGGCTCTAGGTTGCATACAGAATCGTGGCCGGTAGGGCCGTGACCCAAAATATCAGTCGGAGGTCCCCTGGCACCGTTTAAGGACCCACTGAGACAATACAAGTGTCTAAGTAGGCCAGAGATCACGAACACCGAACAGTTGGCTCCATGTCAGCCAGAACACTGGGTGGCCCATTTCCCAAGCAGGAGCAGCGCCGGGGGTCACGATTTACATTGGTTTGGGTCCTGACACCGTGCTTGGGCCCCTGTGTGGGTCAGGGGCCCAAAGTGCATAGCAGGGAGTTATGTCTCGGCTAGTGGACCCTGGTCCGTCACGGGCAGTCTGAGGAGGCCCGTAGAAGGACCGAAGGGCTCTTCGTGACCAAGGATGAAGGGCCTGATTGGACTCAGGCGCCCCCCCCCCCCCCTCCCCCTCCACCCGTAGTTCCGTGAGGGGAAATGTCAGTCTGACGGTTTCTACTAGAGCCCTCTTAGTAGAGTTCTCCATCCCTACTGCACAGGGTCTCGACACGTTGTCAGACAGTCGGCACCATGTCTGTCTGAGCCCTTGAGGTCGATTTGCCAAGCGGGAACGAGGCTGGGGCCCGCGATTTGCAACTCAGGGACCCTAACACAATGAGGAGCTCCTGTGTCGGTCAGGTGCCACAGTGCCTAAAAGGGGTCATGTGGCGTCAAGTGACCCCGAGCCGGCCAAGAGCGGTGTTTGACGGGGCCCGGAGAAGGGACGAAAAGGTCTCCTTGAGCCCAAGGAATAAGGACCCTACTGGAAGGTTGAAGGACCCAAAGAGCTGGCTTAAGGCTACATTAAGGCTCGTGGGGCCGTTATCTCAAATGTCAGCTGGGTCGCCTCTTGCACCGATTTGCCACCTTTTTTAAGGATTTGATCCGAACGCCTTGAATGGATGGATTTCTGGGATCATAGCTCACGCTGAGCATTGCTTGTTGTGTGAGCCCTGACTCCTACCATCCGATCGCGCAATTCCATGTCAACGGCAGAATTTGGTGGCGAAAGCTTAACGTGCCACAATGCTCGGCACGGTCCGTCCTGCCCTCTGACGTCAACTGACCTTTAGCGCGACCGCTGCCACCGGCCGCAGGCCATACCTGTCACGGGCAAATAGCGAGCGCCCTAAAGCGACTCGAACCCACCCCGCCACGGGTGGGTGAATCGGAGGGCAGGTGTTCTAACCAACTGAGCCACCGGGACGGACAAACGGACGGACCTTTGAGATAGAGCATTCCTCCGTTTCGGCCAGAGATCATCAACACCGAACAGTCGGCTCCGTGTCGGTCAGAGATCAGGGGGTCCACTCCCCAAGCAGGGACACGACCGACCCCGCGGTTTACGTTGGTCGGGGCCCCTGCAACAATGCGGGGCTCGTGTATCATTCAGGGGCCCACAGCGCGTAACACGGTATTCTGTGTCAAAAAGTGTTCTCGAGATTTGTCAGTCAGGGGATTTGCTCGACAGGGACGGAAACGGGACACCGAGTGACAGGGGGCCTCTTGCGTGGGCCGGGCACCCCGACAATGAAAGGAAACAAGAGAGCTTATGATGAGTGTTCACACTGAGACAATGGAAGGGTTCTGTGCCAGTCAGGTCACCCAGTACCGAACCGTGCACCCTCCAACACAATTCCAGCGTGGGCCCATCAAATAGAACTGCAGTCCACGCGCCAATCATTGGGCCACCTGCGGCGACCAGGGATACCTCAATGAGAGTTTCTGTGCCCATCCGGGTCGACCACCCGGGTCAGAACGCCTCCTGCGTCAGGGAGGGGACCAATGTGATATGACGCATCCCTCTAAGGGCCTAAGGATCGGCCAGGGGATCCCGCCTCGCGTCGCCAGAATGGCAGTCGAAATATATACGCGGTGGGACGGAATGGCCCTTAAGCCCTTAACCGGGAATAATGATATGCCATCAGTATTCTTTTTGAGGGGCCCCTCTCCAGAAAAAAGCAATGGAAGGTTTCATTATCGTTGAAGTGGAGTGGATGGGGATATGTTCAGAAACGAACGAGTCCATCCCATGTTTGCCTGAGAGCGTTTATCCTTTTGCAGAATTGACTGGTAAAACAACTTATCACAAGGTTTGAGCCTACCACCCCCCAGTCTGGGAAGCAAGGACAGCGATGGCCCGGACTGCAGGTTCCGTCAAAACGAACAGCGTTGGCCACTGCAAGCAACAAGCGGCGGGTGCTGTGCGCGCGAGAGTGATCGTCGTGGAACAATGCTTTGGAACACCTCTTGAAGAAAATGTTTCGTACAACTTTGAGGCTGTTCTCTGAACAGATTAGCGGCTACATCAGCACGAAAAAAAGAGGTTTTTCTTTCACTCGTACAATTCTACCACTAGATTCCAGCAAGACTTCGCAGTGCTGTACAGGTCAATCCGCACAATTCACCAATCTAAGAATCGCACAGGTGACATATACATCCGACTACCTTCTAGATGCACAATTTTATGTCCAAACCTTCAAGGGTACCTGTACAGTCACTAATGAACTTGTGTTGGACGTGCTCTTGGCACTTGGAAGTGAGATGTTGTCTCACAGGGTCATCTGCTGCACTTCCGTCCATACGCATAGGCCCTTGTTTTTGGACAGGGACTTGAGTGATCTTCCCGGCACGGCCTGCGCGCGCAGACTGTTCCCCGGCCTGTCCACACGTGGCTAGCTGTATGCCTCCCAAGCAGCATCCCACCTGCCCCGCAGCGGTATTAAAATGGAGAAATGCAGTAGGGAAGACACCAGTACAAGAATTCAACACAACACGAGAATAAGTAAAAAAAGGTAATCTCTACCTTACGCTGGCAGTTGACACACGTGATCGTAACCAGCGCTAATCGAGGGACTATGTCTGCATGATGAAGTGCACAGGGCAACAACTTCATCCGTTTTTTTTATTTATTAGAGCCCTTCCGACCAGAAATTATCACTTCAGGACTATGGGATGAAGGAAGATGCTTAACGGTGGGGCAGACTTGCATGCGTCTGAAGGGGGGGGGGGGGGGGGGGCAATCGCCGAGCTTTAACTCGCGCAAGCGCGTTGGATACCCGGTCGGGGTCCTCGTTCCCACGGAGCTCCCGGCCCACTCGTGGCTGACGCATGCAGCATTGCCCCGGACAAGCGGGTGTCACCAAGATGCATCATAAGGCAAGACAGAGGATAAGGCGGATGAAGGACGGATGATCAAGTTTATCCAGATTGGCTATGGTACGAGCGAAAGAAATAAGTCATCATCACATAGTCGCGCGGTAACATGACCTTACCGACCATGTACTTGGTATCTGTTCTCCACGAAAAACATCACTGGAGACTAACATGCGTGTGGTATTACCTTTTTTTGTTGATGTTTGTTCTCTACAGGACATGTCAGCATCTCTGACCAACTGAGGACACGGAAGGCGTGCCCTTTCGGACCACTCCACGATCTAGAGCGGAGTCTGGCCGGTGTAACAATGCAGAGGAGCGTCAGTGAATTAGCCAGCACTGCGATAGAGTTAGCGGCAGCGACATTGCGCTGCACGGAAGTGCGTATGAATTACGTCTTACCCCTCCAACCTCGCGGATTCAGCCTGCCCTCACACACACGCACACGCACACGCACATGCACACGCACACACGCTGCAGTAACTCTAAGAAGTGTCGAGTTGCACTTCAGGATTATGGGCGAGCTCCCACCAATAGAAATGTACCTTGTATTGGAAACCAGGCAACGCTTAAAAAACCTGCTGGACAGCGAGTCCACGCTCTGGAAATAACATCGAAAGGACATGCCAATCAACACAAAGGATGCATTCAACATCGCGCGCATTGCGTCGCAAAGGCGTCTGATAGCAAACAAATCTGACGCAAATGAAGCTGTACCCCGAAGGGGTGAAGATCAGAAAAAGGGCGAAAAGGTAAGAAGAAAATTATGACATTTAATAAACATGTCAGCAGCGCACCAAACATATGTGGTTGCATACGCGACAGGCGTGTTTCAAAGCGCAGTCAAGACGGCAATGTATGGTTGAGAGCAGTCGCACCTGACAGGGTTTACCTAAGTCACCTCATGTTGGTGATCTCTTGGAACCGCCTCTTTGCTCTGCATGTCGCTGCGTTCCGGCTGCGAAACTGTCCGCTTACGGCCCCTCGATCCCGTGGGCGACTTCCCCAGGCTCCAAGGGACACGATGGGGCCCTCTCCAACCTCTCGAACGCCTCCCCCGCATCGGCTTCAGGGGAGCCCAGCTCTCGTCGAGCTCGTCGCCGTCCGACGAAGACGACGACGACGACGACGACGGAGCTCGCGCCGGCGCGGCACTGTTGCGCGGCCGCCGCGTGCTGGACGGTGCGCCTCGGCCGCCACGCGACCCGCGCCGGCCCCTGCTCCGCACGGCCAGCGCCGCGCCCCGGCGGTGGCTCGCTCTGCCGTCGACGTCGCCACCTGGCGCTGACGGCGGCGCGCATTCCGAATTGGTCGGTTCCCAGCAGGGTCTGGAGCGTCTCTTTTCTGCCGGGTCGGCCGACGCTCTTCGCTTCGTGCCGCCGCCACTGTCCAGCCTCGCTGGCCGCTTGAGGCTGGGCGCATCTGGGCGGTCGGCCCGCGCTTTTCGCTTTGCGCCACCGCCGCTGCGCTGCCTCGCCGGCGGTTTAGGACTGGGCGTCGGCGAGGACACCATGGGGCCACACTCAGAGGCGACCGAACCGTCCGGATCCTTCTGCGCCGACTGCTCCGGCTTTTTCTGCGGCCCGGTGTCGCGTAGCTTCCACCACCGTTCAAGCTCGTCGAAGCGCTCTGTGACGACCGGCATCCGACCACGCACCGCCACCGAGCGCACGGACTGCATGGACGGCAGCGGGATCTTCAACGTGTTGCGCACGTAGGCGAAGGCGCTCCGGCGGCAGAGCCGGCGCAGTGCGATGGCGCGCAGGAAGTCTTCGCTCTTCCACTTCAGGTGCCTTTCGCCGGGCAGCAGGCGCGACTGCTGCACCCGGGTGAAAACCGAGTCCAGCTGGTCCAGCATGCGGCTCTCCCGCCGCGTGCTCTCCATCTCCTCGTTCGCCCTCGCAACCTGTTCTTCGGCCAGTGCGATCGTGCGCTGCATTACGACCTTACGCAGCCGTACCACCTCCATGCGAAGGTCGAAGATCACGTGCAACGCCTGCTTCAGGCTGGTGGGTATGCTGTACAGTTCGTTAGCATGAGGTAGATCGCGCAGCGCCTGGTCCGGCTCGGGTCGCAATACCACTAGGCGATTCTGACGTGTTGTGCTCGCCTCTGCCTTCTCCGAATCGGTCTCCGCCCTCCCCGTGCAGGCCTCGCCTTCAGCCGCGGCGGCGTCAGCCTTCTCGTGGCCGACGTCGGCCGGCTTTTCACCGCTCTCCGCCGCCAGTTTGCTGTCTAGCTTAGCGCGCACGGCCCTGCACGCATCGCGCGCATCCTGCGCGTACTTGGCGCGCAGGAGCGCCACCCGCTCCAGCAGCTGGTTCTGCCGCTGCTGGCCCAGAACCCGCCGCAGCCGGCGTATCAGGCCGACCGAGCGCAGAGGATACGGGTATGCTGTGGCGAGCATCTCAAAGAGAGTCTTCCAGTCACATTCCTTCTGCTCCGAGGATGATGAGCATGGCTCGCGCAAAGCCGCGAATGAGTTCTTCCTCGCCTTGTATGGGCGAGCCACGGCGGGGAAGTTCTTCACCTTGTGCGGGAGAGTCACAGGTGAGTAGTTTCCAGCCTTGTGCGTGTCAGTGGCGGGTAAGCAATTCCTCACCCTCCATACGAGAGCGGCGGGTGCGTGGTCCTTCGCCTTGTGTAGGAGAGTCGCCGGTGAGCGGTTCTTTCCGTTCTTTGACACCAAATACACAGTTTTGCTTGAGGACAACCTGAAAACGGAGTCAGCAAACCGTGAGCTTAGTCCCTGGCACTATCACATGCAAAACTTATCGTTACTGACTAATGTTAAAAACGCACAAGTGAGCAATACCGCAGATGAGTATGAGGTAACTACGAACTATTCTTTGAAGCTATTCCAGCTGACGGGTGCTGCATATCCGCACACTAGCACATTTCGCTATTCATCACGATGTGACGCAAGCAATTCAGCATGCCAGCTGCAGCGCCTGACGTCAAATGACGTACGGTCAGCAGCTGATAACGCGCTTATTGCGATTAGCACCCTAAGCACACAATATTTGCTGAAATACACCCGGCAGCTTTGCAGCTTTCTCGCAGTCCAATCCTATTTTATATCCAATCTTTGAAAATTAACCCGGTCCAGGCATTCTATCTCACCGTCGGCAAAGCCCAAAAGCTCAATAAAATACGCCCTTCCATGTAACGTGTCTGGCTGCAAACTGAGACCAGCTTCTTCTAAGCAGGTGCGCAGCGACAGTCCACCGATGCATATTATGGGAAGAAAACATCTCCAACATGATAATCGCGTAGTTTCATCCCTCTCTGTTTACGCAAGCACATACGCGAAGCACATAAATCATGGCCCTGCTAAGTGATCGCATGTAACCGATCTTGGACGGACTGTTTCGGGGCGGCACGCGCGACCTGGTCACTCACCGCGGCAGCTCCGGGGTGTTTGGGGCGCTCAAGGGCTTGCCTGCTCTTGGGACAGCCCGCACGTGCACAACGCGTGCTGCGGCGCCGCAGTCCACCACCCTGGCGCCGTCGGCAGGCAGGCTGGAGCCGCCGGCCTTACGTCCATCGATACCGTCCGCAGAGCGGAGTGTGCGTTTTCGACGCACAGCCCCACTCTTGTCCTGGAACGGCCTGCCACCGGCCATCAGTGGCTCTCCAACACGCACTGCATTGGTCAGCAAACTCCATCGCACTGAGTCAGCAAACTCTATCGACAGTCCACCGATGTGTGTTATGGGAAGAAAACATCTCCAACATGATCATGCGTAGTTTCATCCCTCTCTGTTTACGCAAGCACGTATGCGAAGCACATAAATCATGACCCAGTGTAAGTGATCGCATGTAACCAACCTTGGACGGACTGTTTCGGCGCGGCACCCGCGACCTGGTCACTCACCGCGGCAGCTCCGGTGTGTTTGGGGCGCTCAGGGGCTCGCGTGCTCCAGGGACAACTCGCACGTGCACAACGCCGGCTGCGGCGCCACAGTCCACCACCCTGGCGCCGTCGGCAGGCAGGCTGGAGCCGCCGGCCTTACGTCCATCGATACTGTCCGCAGAGCGAAGTGTGCGTTTTCGACGCGCAGCCTCGTTCTTGTCCTGGAACGGCCTGCCACCGGCCATCAGTAGCTCTCCAACACGCACTGCACTGGTCAACAGACCCCATCGTAATGAGTAGGACTTTATCGCGCTTTGCTACTTCAGTATGCTCCCAAGCACTCTCGTCAGTGTTGTATTTTTCGTGAAGCGTTTTAATTTAGTGATGTACCGTGTCCTGGAACTGCTGAAATAACTTGCGATGTTACAATACAGGACGCCAAGAACCATAAAATGTACATGCATTTGTACTTAAAACTTCTTACGCTGTTAAATTTAGTTAGCAAAAAGACATTCATCAAACACTCACCTCGATTTTTTATCCTGGAAGTTGTTCCACGGGAACAGCGTCGGCACCTCATTCTCGTCACCATTGGGAAAGTGGCAGGAGCAGATTCTTGAGTCACATGATGGTTGATCGTCAACGCCACCCTTCCTGAAATTGACGACAGATGTGCAGTGATGATTATGCTTATAAAAGATGGTGCATCAAATGCCTCAAAAATAAACACTACTTTCTCGCAAAAGTTTTGATACTATTTCTGACTTGGCCATGAGCTCACAGACTTCAGTTCTGGGTTTTTGACATACCTTTAGGCCAAACGGGAAGTTGCTAACGTTCCACTGGTTAATATTTCCTCAGGTCCAGGCACAGACTAATATAAATTGTCACACAATCAACAGCACTTTGAGAGCGACCTTAACCGGGTGCAACACCTGACATTTAATGTGATGTTCATGTATACTGGAGGTGCGAAACTAAGCGGTCAAAAAGCATGTTCAAATGTTTGTAATAAAATAGTACCCACTGAAAGGCGGGTCGGCTTCCAAGTGGAAAAATATTTCAGCCGGCACGTGATTCGACCTTGCCGCGGGTGTTTACACCTGCCTGAAAGCTCGGGTCGAGGGTTAGTAACGCTTAATTCGAACCACTCTGCCCATGCAAAAAGGGTAACTGCCGTCATGATCTATTGCAAGGCTTATGTCATCGCGTATAACCCTGACCAGCTGTCCTGCACTAAAAGGCAGTCAAATCATTCATAAATTATGCCGGAAAAGTTGGTATATCATCCGTTTTGCTAGATATATGGATCATTGTAAGTAGACGTAGATGAAACTACCACATTTTTTAAACACACCCCTTAAACCGCCTTGCATTTTATCTTCCTTACACGATTTCACGGCGCCTGTGTGTCGGGGAGGGGTTAATGGTAAAAATGCGTGGCGTTATTTATGGCGCGCCTGTAAGAAATGTAACAGATTAGCAGAACAGCTTCTGGCAGACATGTGCTTTATTCTCAAATGGGCGTCAAGCCGCATCTTGCTGTATCTAGATTGATTCAAGCCGATCCTCCGTGTGGAAACGGATGATCCATTTTGATTGGAAAGTTCGTGGGGAATGTTAGCGTGAACGCGGCATCATGACAACATCGTGTGCTTCGAATCTTCGTATATTTTGTGTCTAACTCTTTATTGTCTATTCTCGACGTTCATTGTTTTTTTCGTTTCAAAAAGCATATGCAAATGCACCGAAACGGAAAACTTGAATACACCTCGGTCCCGTCGTGGGAGGAATAAATTTAACCAGTGCTTGAACGAAGCTGGATTGTTAGCACAATCTTGACAACATAGAAAAGCGCACATGTGATGCAGAAAGCCAGCTACATACTTATATTTGTAGCTTTCTGCAGCTTGCAAGCTTAAGTTTCTCCCATTTGATGTTCCGTGACCACAACCAAGGCCATCAAATTAAAAAGCATGAGTCGCTGGACCGTATTGCCCATGAGCGACCGAACACTCGAGGCTTCGTGACGGGAAATTTCGGAGCATTTCATTCCTCCAAGCGGCGGACAGTAATTCAGTCATTTGGTGACCCGTGAACTGCGTCGTCTACTTCCAAAACAAAAAGGGCGAGTGGATAGACAAAGCTGAGTCGAATGATGAAGGTTGCGTGAAAATTGACCGAGCAGTTTCGCAGCATGGAACTGTGCGCAACCTTCAAAACAATGTTTAGGTCTTTTGGTGACCCAAGACCTCCGCCAAGGTCACCAAATTATCAAGTGAATTACTACACAAAATATCAAATTCACTGACTTAACTATTTGTACCTGCGTTTTTCACCTGACGATAGATGGAAAGGCTATCTCGCCTTCAAGACACATCAAATTTATCGGCGTAATTGTAGACTTGACGCGTTTGTGGGAGAAACATGCCACCAGAGTCGTGCAAAAATGCAACGGAATTCTAATCTCGCTGTGCCGCCTCAACCATTACTTTACATCTGATGTTCTCCAAAATATTTTCGCAGCTTACGTTTCTCCACGTATATCTTACTATCTTTGCGTATGGGATGGCGCGACAAGTGACAAATGCAGGGGATTTAAAAAGTTAAAAATGTTGCCGCCAGGACTGTCTCTAACACAAAACACAGCCAGCCAGCCGGCAATGTAGGCTGGTCTGGGCCGATGACTTGGTGAATAAAAAGTAAGTGCTGAAAGTGTTCAAGGCCCGAAGATGCAAAGTACCCCCTCCCCCCTCGCCATCCAATCTTTTTTGAAGCCACGCTCCTCTCTTTCAATGAGACAGACTCCTTCCTCCATGTCAATGTCTCTCCACCAGCCCAGGTGCCGATTGGAAACCACCAAGTGTGTTTTTCCTAATCGTGCCACGGCGACTTGGAGCCGCCTGTCTCTGACCGCCACTAAGTCTTCATCTGACCTTTGAACGATTAAAAATTCGCATTTCATAAAGCTAATGCTTAGGTCATGCGCCTTAGTTTTAAGCCAACGCTTGTGTGATTGCATGCCATCTGCATGTACGTACATGATCTTTTTCCGTTCACCGTTACCACTTCGTACGTAGCTTGCAGTTTCTAGTTTTATCGTATCGTATTTATCGCACCGTATCTTGTCATATCGTATTCTTTTATTGTCATATTTTATAGGCCAGTTTGCCACATCGTATTTCACAGCATTTTTCGTAGAGTCTCCTCTTATCGTATTCTTTGTAATTTGTTGCCTTGTGTTCCATTGCCTTCTTGTCGACCATCGTCAAAAGTTGTCATATCTTATGTCATTGTCATAGGACCGCGACTAACACCATGGGCCCTCTGGCATTCAGGGTCCCATCCCTGTCCCTGTTCAGCAGATGATCCGACTCCAAACCCCTTGCCGACACAGGACCCTCTACAAGGCATTGTGGGTCCCTGGCCAACACAGGGGCACCATGTTGTTGCAGGGACCCCGGCCAACATAAATAACAGTCCACAGCTTCATTCCTTCCAGGTAAATGTCAGTGTTGGTCTCAGCATTGACCATTAGGCACCGGCACCAGACCCGGCTTAGACCATTTCATGGTCTGGGTGAATGTCAATGCAGTGGATTTCACTTCACTGCATGGCCAAATCTCACACTGGGGCCTTTTGAATGGCATGTGAGGGCCAACACTGCTGAAGATGACTTACAGCCATCCTTTTGGTCCCTACAAACCCTCAAATCACACACCTAGTTGTTTAGACTTGTGAAGCCATTTGCTTCTTGTTTTTTCTCTTGTTTGACACCATCTGCTTCTTGTTTAGCTAACCAGGATGTTTGGAGTCTGGCACACAGTCTATGAATGCCCAGTTAACCTATTTTAGTCACTGAAAATCAGCATACCATAGACAGATCCAATACATTCCAGAAAAGATGCAAGATGTGGTACTATAATTTCTTCCTAAGCAGCCTTTGCAGTTCATATGGTTTCCTCATTCCTTCATTTGCCAGTTTTTAAACTTTGATTGACCTTAAAGTAACAGTGACAGGCATAAGCACCATTGCATTTCATGTGTTCTAATGTTCTACATACATTCTTCTCAACATACCATGTAACTAGACCTATGTGGTGGGCTCTGGTTGGAGGCTGGACAAGGTCTAGGATCAATGCGGTGTGGATTGAGTTGTGATATGATTAATTTTCTTGAAAAAGCAATGAGGCAGCATTAAGACGAGCATGTCAATGAAAATGACTAAGAAACAACATTACATGGATGAAAATCAGAACAAATTCTGTAAAACAATCACAACATAAGTATGAACCTTGGAACATCCATACATGAGGCTCAGCCAGGACACAATGAGCTAAATTTTTGACTATTTGGTAACTTTTTGGAGACGACATTCCTGACAAATACTTTGGCAACAACTTTTTGACACTTGGGCTCAATAGGTTTTGTTACTAGTGATGACTGCATCACACCTTGCGAACAAACACCACCTGTACTTGTGACTTTACACCATGTGCCCTGAAAATGTTGCTGGGATGTCACTTCCATGTTGCATATAATTGGCATTCTCTGTATTTTCATCCAAGCTTGTGTTTCCAGATCACAATAGTAAAAATGGTCAAAACAGTCAAACTTTAATGCAAGGCCAAGGAGCCCAAACTTTTTGTATGCCACTGGGAATGACAGCCGAGCTGTTGAGAACTTGCCAATTGGACTTACCCACAAATTGACCTCACCCACTTGCAGTGTGACTTGGTGTCCTCAGGGAAAGCAAAAAAAGAGCACTCATCTGTTGTACTGCTGTGATTACATTCTTGTACAAAGCAGCAGGCCATGATAGATACTTAGAAGTATTTATCCCAGCTGAAACATTAACCACAGGATTTATATTAAATTTGAATACACTTGACTCTGCAGTATTCATCACTTATTTCACCAAAAGCTTGGCAACACTCAAGGATACCAGAATTCAACAATCAAAGGCATAGTGATGGCCCAGTAACATCAATCATATAAATAAGAACGTACTAATAGTCTTATTCCTCGAAGAATAATTACGAGAATGGAGAAATTTCGGTCAGGGTGTACTTTCCTACCTGATGTTACAAAAGGGCACTGTACATCAATCGTTGTTTTTGAGGCAGAACATGGTCAGGGTGTACTTCCCTACCTAACGTTAGAAAAAATCATTGTACACCATTCGTCGTGTTCAAGGCATGACATATCGTAAATAATCTCAAAACAGGTAGAATCATGCTCCTACCTTCGAATTTCAATAACTTCGATGGCGGGCCCCCGAGCGCCGCACCGCCTGGACTACCGAGCGCCGTTTCCGCGTTGCCGTTGCGTAAATACAATATTTCTGCGTACCAAGAACTGTACAAAATGTACGGGACCAAAGTAAACCATTCGTCGTGTTTAAGGCAGGACATATCGTAAATAATCACAAAACAGGTAGATTAATGATCTTAGCTTCAATTTTTTATAATTACGATGGCGAGCTCCCGAGCGCCGCACACACACAGCACCCGCGACACCGGCGCCATTACTGCTCGGGTCACAACATTACTGCGAACCATAAAAATGTACCGGGACAAGGTAGCAAGAATCCATGAAATTTGATCCTCGACGCCAACGGGACCATGGGTTGCAGGGGGATTGGGTGGGGAATGTAAAGCAAAATGAGAACATGGCAGCTAAATAAAAGCTCACTATATGGCACCTATATATGGCATGGAACATGGATGCCAATGAGATGCTGGGTTGAAGGGGATATAGGGTGGGGAGGTTAGGTTAGGTTAGGTTAGGTTAGGTTAGGTTAGGTTAGGTTAGGTCAGGTTAGGTTAGGTCAGGTCAGGTCAGGTCAGGCTAGCTTAGCTTAGCTTAGCTTAGGTTCTGGTCTATTCTCAGTTAGGTTAGGTTAGGTTAGGTTAGGTTAGGTTAGGTTAGGTTAGGTTAGGTTAGGTTAGGTTAGGTTAGGTTAGGTTAGGTTAGGTTAGGTTAGGTTAGGTTAGTTTAGGATATGTTCTGGACTATTCTGGGCTGCGTGTTTCATAAATGTACCTAAACTCGATAAGAAACGATTTTGGTTGCTTTGTTATTGTTACCTTGGTCCCGTACATGTTTTATGGTTCTTGATAAGCAGAAATATTGTGCTTTCGCAACAACGCAGAAACGGCGCTTGGAAGTCGAGGCAGTGCGGTGCGGGGCGTGCGGCGCTCGGGAGCTCGCTATCGTATTTATTAAAATTCGAGGGTAGGAGCATGATTCTATCTGTTTTGAACTTATTTACGATATGTTCCGCCTTAAACACGACGAATGGTTTACCTCGGTCCCGTACATTTTGTAGAGTTCTTGGTAAGCAGAAATATTGTATTTACGCAACGGCAACGCAGAAACGGCGCTGGGGAGTCCAGGCGGTGCGGTGCGCGCGGCACTCGGGAGCCCGCCATCGAAGTTATTGAAATTCGAAGGTAGGAGCATGATTCTACCTGTTTTGAGATTATTTACGATATGTGCCGCCTTGAACACGACGAATGGTGCGCAATGATTTTTTCTAACGTTAGGTAGGAAAGTACACCTACACCCAGAATATATCATAATTTATCGCGAAACACGTCACCTATACTCTTACCTTAGAACTTAACTAATTACGATACCGAACATCCGACCGCCGCACACACACGGCAGCCGCGACACCGGCGCCATTACTTCGCGCGGTCACAACATTACTGCGCCTGAAGCAGCATCAAGAACTATAAAAATGTACGGGGCTAAGATAATAAGAGTCCGTGGAATTTGAGCGACAATAACGAGGCTCTCCACATTGCATCTAAAGCATATTTTCCCCGAGCTGAACCATACCCCTGCCACATTCATTCCAGGCGTAATATTGGGCGTAAGCTTAGTAATACCCTCATTGGGGTATTTGAGCAGAATGTCGCTTAACAAATCCGTGTGATCAAAATGCTGGTTTGGCTCATATGACCGATGTCCATTTACTCTCTCAACATCTCGGGACATGCATGGCCAAATGGATAAGTGTTAAGGGTCAGAAGGGAATAAAGTTTTCAAAGTGGTGCAAGAAATGCTAACTTGACCGCATTAGTAGAGGAATTGTGAGGAATAAATTATCTACCAACCGCACTGAGAGTATAAATAGTGTCATTTCCGCGGCATCCGGTCGGCAGCCTTTCGGCATCTGTCACATCGTTGAGACGTTACGTGATTTGCGTATGCGCCAGAAGGCCTGAGTGGGCCGAGCTCATGACCGCCAAGAATCATACACAGTCAATAAATCCTACGAGCATCTGCTTAAGCGGCCGGTGACGAAATCAGCTTGCATCAACGCAAAATCAGGCGCGATCAGTTTTTCAACCAAGCACCGAGGCCGTTATGCACCAAAATTAGAGAGTCACTGACAATCCCACCTTCGGTAGGGAGAAAGCGACATTAGCGACCTCTCAAATCTAAGATCCCAGTTTACCATAATGAAAAACTATTCTTTATAGTTGCAAGCTTTCCTAAAACAAAGAAATGTAAATCTTGCATTGGAAAAATAGATCGGAGAACGTTACGCGAGCCTCACGACATCGTCCTGTTTCATAAGGAGCGATGGGAGTTTCCAAAAGTTGTTGGAGATGCGGTGGTAAAAGTAGCAACTGTTAAAAAGATGGCTAGGATGTGTTATCATATTACGAAGACATTTGTTGCGTCGCGTTTTCCCGATCTCATAGGTAAATGTGATTTTATACGAGATGACGCGGATGTGCTTCCAGTACTAACAGGCGTGCGTAAAGCATACATCCTGGAAACGCTGGGAGTCAGAGTTTGACTGTGTGTGTGTGTGTATCTTTTGGTGTTTTCTGTACCTGTACGTGCGTGTATGTTGCCAGCGTATGTGGTGCATACACGACTGATGTATACACGGCGCATCTTGACGCTGATTCAAGAGGAAGAGGAAGATGAAGATCTGAGCTCACCAAGTTCAGTACTGCTGGTAAAATCGCATGCGCTCTATCTTCTGGTAAAAGTTTCAAGTAGATCGGTTGGGCGGCTTCCGAGTTTGAACTTGGCTACAGTGTCCTAGAGTGGTTCATGCGGTGTTTGAAGGTGAACATGGTGACCTGAGGTCACCAGTCTCAGGACGGCCGGTGAAATTGCATGCGCTCTATCTTCTGGTTAAAGTTTCAAGCAGATGGGTTGGATGGTTTGCGAGTTTAGACTTGGCTGTAATCCACCACAGTGGTTTAGGCGGTTTTTGAAGATGAAGATGGTGACCTGAGGTCACCAGTTTCAGGACGGCTGATAAAATCGTATGCGCTCTATCTTTTAGTAAAGGTTTCAAGCAGACCGGTTGAGTAGCTTCCGAGTTTTGACTTGGCTGCAAATCCTCAAAGTGGTTTAGGTGGTTTTTGACGGTAAAGATGGTGACCTAGAGTCACCAGTTTCAGAACGGCAAATGGAACCGCACACTAGCTTTCCATTGGCGCTGGCTTGAAGAAATCTGGCCACTAGCTCCGTAGTTTGAATTATGCTGCATGGATGGCGGTGAAGAAGCGTTGTCCGGACAAGGCCGGTGTGCACGATTGTTGCTGAGAGCCTACATTGGCCGGGCCCCTGGAACGAGGTGGCTCTGTGCATCCAGGCACAGAGTGCCTAACAGGGGGAGCTTGTGATGGTAAGGGGGTTCTAGTCGATGAGAGGCACATTTTGCTGAAGAGGAACAGGATGGGACGCTGAAAGTCAGCGAGCCACTTGCATTGATCGAGTTCCTCTTGCCTGGCATAGCATGGAAATATGAGAAATGACAATGCAAGTCCATAATGAGACTTTAACAGAGGCCCTTCAGAGTTCCTGGACCGCACCTCGTTTGAGCCGGGAACCCGATGATCCTAGCTGGGGCTCGTACTGCGATCAATGTACGTGCTTGGGTGGCGTGTTTGATTGTCATAATTATCCTTAAAACCTTACTGACTCCATACTTTTTTGATCAGAGCTCACGCGAAACAGAAGTATGTGCTCCAGAGGTGACCTTGCTACGTAATTCCAATTATGCGGCAGATTTTATGGAAAATCTGTATGCGTTGCAATACTTGGCACGGTCCCTCTGTCTTTTGACCTCGCCCCTCCCTCCCCCCCCCCCCTGATACTGAACGGCCGCTGCCACCGGCTGCAGACCATCGAAGTCAAAAGTCAAATATCAAGCGCATATACACGCGGCCAAGATCGAGAATGCAGATGTCCACCACACACCGCCACCAATCCTGCGTGATGAGCTCTGATTGGGTCCCCCCCCCCCCCTGCCTCCAGTGTTTGATTATCCTGGATGTGCCCCTGTGAACGCGTACATAACGAGTTGAGCCCATTTACCGACACGAATGGGTTGGGATCACCAGGAGCTGACACGATTTAAGCTGCCGAGGCAGCACAAGCCGCTGCTTAAGCACAAGTTTTTGCTTTTAATTCATTTTGGTGATTGTTTACTCCCTTCCACCTGTAATCGCAGGATCAAGCGCTGATGTCTGATCGGTTCGCTATACCAGATTTTAACTGGCGTCATGGGTATGACTCGTTCTTCTGGTGATAAACTGGCCGTTTCATCTTGCTGAATCAGTTAGGATCTTTTTTGGGAACAGCGAGCCGCAGTTTTTACCAGGCTCGAATGACGTGATATTTCATATCACCAATCAATTATCGGATGATTAAAACTTTTGAAGCGCAAGGGCACAAGAGGATCGGCAATATTCACGAGCCGGCCGGCAATTGCATGTGATCCCGGACCGAGACGGACTGGTTCGGTCAGTGTGTTGCTGCGACAGACCCTTAACCTCAGAACTCTTCTTCTAGGGACTTGCTTTCTGTTCTGTGTATAGCTTGTCGCGGAGATACTAGTCTCAGATGCAAATGATAACAAAAATGTCGGAAAAGGCGTTACTGGTTTGGTCAACAGGAACCTTGAGCTCCACTGTGCATGTCGTGCGTAGCCGTGCCATCATGTGATTACGACGATTATGACTGTCCCAAATACGCCAAAAATTGGAGATGTATTGTTGAGAATTGAATATTGAAACTTAACCATGCCATTGAAGATCAGCCCAGGACAAGTGCAAGCAACATTTAAGTTGATACAGTTGTCTTGACGATGGTCGTTTTATAATAAGGAAGAGACAAGGTGAACGTAAGCATTCGTTCATCGCCGCGGCAGAACATGATTTGGTGTCAGTGGTGAAGACGGTAACGCGCCGACACCAAAAATTTAAAGGTCTTGTGTTCAAAGCGGGCTTATCTGGAATTGTTCTGTTTGTTCCGTAAGACACATGTTGAAGGGCTTGCTTTCAGTTGATGCATGCTATCTGTGTAATCAGTGTTATCTATCAGTGCTGCCGGTGCTTCCTATCAGTGTAATACAACATTCTGGACATACACCAATTGTGACATGACATTACGCTACATCTCATGACATGATAAGCACGTCCCTAAACTGGATACCCCTGACAACATGAGATTCTTTCACTATGATAAATGACAAGATAAGCGCCACCGTGATGACGACCGAAAGAGAGAGAGAGAGAGAGAGAGAGAGAGAGAGAGAGAGAGAGAGAGAGAGAGAGAGAAGAGAGAGAGAGAGAGAGAGAGAGAGGAGAGAGAGAGAGAGGAGAGAGAGAGAGGGAGAGGAGAGGGAGAGGAGAGGGAGATGGAGAGAGGGAGAGGGAGAGGAGAGGGAGAGGGAGAGGGAGAGGAGAGGGAGAGGGATGGAGGGAGAGGGCGAGGGAGAGGGAGAGGGAGAGGGAGGGAGAGGGAGAGGGAGAGAGAGGGAGAGGGAGAGGAGAGGGAGAGGGAGAGGGAGAGGGAGAGGGAGAGGGAGAGGGAGAGGGAGGAGGGGAGAGGGAGAGGGAGAGGGAGAGGGAGAGGGAGAGGGAGGGAGAGGGAGAGAGGAGAGGGAGAGGGAGAGGGAGAGGGAGAGGGAGAGGGAGAGGGAGAGGGAGAGAGAGGAGAGGAGAGAGAGAGAGAGAGAGAGAGAGAGAAGAGAGAGAGAGAGAGAGAGAGAGAGAGACGGGGGGGGGGGAGCACGGTCGATGTGCACACTACACTTTATTAGCTCGGTTATGAACATTGAAAATCTTTCTTCATGCATTACAACACGATGCATGTCAAGAAAGCTACTCGCATTTGGCACAATGTCGTCAGGATTTAGGGCTAGCAGACCATTGGTCCCGAAAACATGTTTCGGGCATGACCTAGCCGGCACTTGAGTCAACGTGTAATGTGAGGGAAGGTTCACCTCAAAGACACGTTCCTCTACGACAGCCGCCGCCCTGCTGACCGTGGTAGGCGGCAAACACTCGAGGCACGGCAGTTCTTGTGGCTGCCCTGTTGATTAGGGTCCGTGTTGATGTACAAGTACCACGCTGTTTGTACGTCTGCAATCGCCATATTTTGCTCGATATAAAGGACAGTAAATTTCTCAACCGACTTCAACCCACGCTATGTTGTTCGCCTGCGGACTGTCAGGCACGCGACTAGAGGCGCAGTGTCTGCTTCTGCTTTCGGGATGGACGATATGCCCCTCCCCTGCAAAATAGAGCATAATCAATTCAGTCCTTGTGTCGGTGGTTTTTCGCCATCTTAGATGTGATCGACGTGGCAGTGGCTATAAAGGAAGATGGAGCTAGGAACAGGGTCAGAGACATTCGTTTCCAAACATCATCCCTAACGTGGTGTATTTCTGGAGCGGCAGCCCTCGGGGCCAGGCTCGCAGGATGTGGTCGCTTCAGCTGATGGTGGTGTCAGCCGTATCCGCGCAGGGGCTTCTCTTCCAAAGTAGCTGTTCCCAGAGACAGCCGGCTTCCCGTGGGAAGGGTCTTGGAAGGGAGGGTCTGACTCCGCTGGGTCGACCTCAAGAGCTCCTGTCCCCAGAGCAGCTGCTACCAGATGCGCCCATCTTCAGCTTGACTTCCTCGGATCGGCCAGATGGATTTCGAGCTTTGGGATCGGCTGTTGAGGCGGTTCGGCTGGGAGGCCGTTCGGCGAGGGGCGTCATCAGGCGCGGCTGTTCTCGGTCACTTCGGAGATGAAGGCGGGCGAGAGGCGCCATCAGGCGCGGCTGTTTTCGGTCACTTCGGAGATGAAGGCGGACGAGAGGCGTCATCAGGCGCGGCTGTTCTCGGTCACTTCGGAGATGAAGGCGGGGTTGATGCGGAGCGCGGCGGCCGACAGCCGCATGCGGCGCTGCCTGTCCGCCGTGCTGTCACGGCGCATCCCAGGCGGCCACCGGCCGGCCACCCGCATGGCCTTGCTCCGTTTGCCCCCGAAGACCGTCACGTCATCCTTGTTGTTGACAGCGAACGCCCTGCCGACGGGCCTGTGTCACGAGAAAGGCCACGAGAAAGGCCTGAAAAAGGCCACGTCACGAGAAAGGCCTGAAGACACCTCGAAGTTCCCAAGGGCCCTGCGATCTGTTGGCTAAAACCAAATGTCTGAACAGTGCGTGCGGCGCCGTTCCGCGAGAATAACGAACCGCAACACACGACTCTCGGAGAAGGGCAGCATGAGGCAGAAATGCAGCGCTAGCGGCTCGTGACCAACGGGAAGGCAATCAGGTGCCGCTTCACACACCGCTCAGCTTCACAGCGAACCCGAATACTCACGAGAGTCTAGAGAAAGGCACTCCGAGCACCATGATGTGGTTTCCGTTGTACCAGAAGCGCCAGATACCATGGTGGTCACCACGGCTGTCCATGTCCCAGAGGTTGAGGCACTGTTGGCACAGAATGCTCGGTTTAAGTGCTTCCTTTATGTGCTTCAGTGCACACCCTACAGCTCACTGCGCACTTGATGTGCCGCAGCGTGCACGGCAAAGTGAACGGGTGGCTTCGTACGTCCCTGCTATCTTTCATATATATATATATATATATATATATATATATATATATATATATATATATATATATATATATATATTCATGTATATATATATATAACATAATGTAACTATATATATATATATATATATATATATATATATATATATATATATAGTTACATTATGTTATATATATATACATGAAATAGTTACATTATGTTATATATATATATACATGAATATATATATATATATATATATATATATGTTCATATATTTATATATACATACATATATACATAACTATATATATATATATTCATATATTTATATATGCATATATATATGTATATATATATATATATATACATATATATCAAGCTTCCTTATTTCGCATGGTTCACCCGTTCGATGGGGTCAAGGGAGGCCAAGTCGGGCTCCTGCCATAATCAACGAAACTCTATGTGTTTTCGAGAAGGCACCTTGATTCAAGTGGGAGCATGTGGTCACTGATGTTCATGAAGTAACGTCAGACCACCTGCAATCGCTGCTACGGCCTTGATCTTTGGTGACCACGAGGCTACAGTTTTCCTGTACGATAACATTTGTGCACCAGGGTCAACACCATGAATAACATTTTCAAGATCTGAGCTAACGTCACCAGAGCGTTAGAAATTCGGACGCTTATGCCTGTCATTTTGTGTCATAATGTAACTATCGCGCAGATTAGTTCGCCAGCAAGCTCGCAGCACGTGCTGTGGCGATAATGACGTCCAAAAATTTTGACGCGTTTGCCCAGTGCTCGTGCGTAACACACGGCTACAGATGATGTTCATTATGTTAGCTGTCGCTGCTCGTCACCATTAAGATCACCGTATGCTGAGGAACGAACCGAAAATTAATTGAAAAAACGCGGAGAACCGAATGTCTATATTCTGATTGACGATATCACGCCTTCAAGTGCGTACTTGTACCTTGGTGACCCTCGAGTATACAAAATTGAAACCTGCACGCTGGTCGGGAAAATTAGGTTCATTTTGTGCAAACGTCCGTACGATCTTCGGAGTCCCTTGCTTTAAGATGTACGTCGACTGCATCAATCCGTTAGCTAGATCAAGCTCACAATGTCGTTGAACAAAATTATGTGCCTGCCGTGCCGCTGCTTTTTAACAGGTTTCGGAATCTCAACGGCAGACGTATCGTGCTATACCGCAGTTCAAATATAAACTCATACCTACTTCATTCGTCTGTGTGTACTCCATGCGTATGCACGGCTTTACACGCACCGGTTGTTAGCCCTGCCTCAGTGGACACATTTTCTTGTCGCAAATTATTCCCAAATTTCGTGCGAAGAAAAACGTGGCAAAAAGTCGAATGGATGAAAACTGAAAACATGCCAAGCTTGGAGTCTTTCACGCCTTAGTTGTTCACCATGATATTCAGACCCGTTTTCATTCTGCACGAAATCTGCCTTTCTGACGACGCCATGTCTCGGACACTAAAAGGATTAATGACACGAGACTGTACTCACCGTGGCAACTTTCAACCAGGGCTCCGTGTCCTCTGGGCCATACATCCTCAGGAATATCAGGTACGTCTGGTTCTGGAAGAAATCACGACACACGCGTGACACCCGCAGGGGCGGGAACGGCGCCAGTGCATACTGTGCCTACTTTACACCTTAAGCTAGTCTGGACACGTCCGGTCCAGACCACCGGCGTCGTGCGTGAAAAGGTGTTCACGCATTACGCATTGTAATGCGTGAACAATATAAAACTAACGTGCACCAAATCGATCACAGCGTGATCACCTTTTCGTCGACGTGATCCATATCATGTGATGACATGAATGTCACGGTGATCGACAGGGGCGCTTGTTACCTTTTCTGATAATGTTTGAAGTACATCGGTGCCGGTTTTGCACTCGCTTTGATGGGGGGGGGGGGGGGGCTGTAGGGTGATGCGACCACCTTAAGATTTGCTGAAAATGTCTCTCTGGCTTGTGCAATGACGTTAACATTTTCTGTAGCCTGTGGTGCGTCGTGTTTTGCGCCACACCAATGTCGCGGACCACACGTGGTGAGCCGACATGGTTACATAACGGATCGTATATCATAAATAGAGGGTCTAAACGCAAAAAAAACTACACGGCAATGTACGCGAAATCGGGCAAAGAATGTGCCTGTTCAGGTTTTGTTTCGCACATATGAGCGTGACCTAAGCATATGAGTGTGCAACGCCGAAAAATTTCATTTTCGCGGAAATTGGCATTGACCTGATATATATTTCGGGATCTTGTTGAGCAAGCCCCGCTGATGTTTTCTGTTAACCGACATCTTTTTAGTTCGGAAAAGGCAGGGGTCGCATCGACCGTTACTAGTCTGCGTAATGAAAACCGGCGAATCCAGGAGAGCGTTAAGCGTGTTGTCAAGAATGCGGACTGTTCCGCATGCATGTCTTGCCTTCGTATCGGAAGGGATGATGCGCTTGCAGGAGGTTGAGTTGGTGTGAGCGTCGCCATCCAGTTTGGTGCCGGTGGTTACCAGCTCGTGCAGTAGCTTCTCGTATTCATGGAAGACCATCCTTTAGGAAAGAGCGAATGCCAGCATTCATGTAATCACAGTTGAGCTACATCACCGTGTGTACCTAGCTCAAAAGCTAAATGCTGTATGAAACGAGAATAGTGATGTCGGGATGCATTTTTTGATCGAATAAACGCTTGTAATAAAAAAACATGCGATGATGTGTAATTTGAGATAGACACTCTAGAGCACATATTCCCACTATGAACCATATGCCGATCCAACCTGAGAAAGAAACGTGCTACAGCATTGAGAGTTGGAGATTCCTATGGCTTATATGGAATGAAAACTCATTGATGCTGGTGAATGAACTCGACTGTACTTTACCAGTACTCTTGAGCGGTCGGGTTAAAAGGCGCCTTTATGAGAACACAATAGCTGATTGGTGAAGGCACCTTCTGCGCTCATAATGAGTGATTTGGGTGACTGCAGCAGCCCGATTCCCAGCTGACGACAGCCAGCTCATTTTCAAAGTCGACAGAGTTTTAGCAGCGCGTGCAGCCACCTGGTGAACATCGTCTTGTTTGGCTGGGCCTTTACCACACCTGTCAACGTCTTTGAGCTTCACGTCCGGAATCGTGTTCAGAGCGTGGTCGTAGAAAAACGCGAACTGCATGCCGGAATTGACGTGGTTTCCCACGAAGCCGAAGTGGTAGGTCCTCGACACGTCAGGAATGATGCAGTCGCGCCCTCTCCGGATACTGCCCAGCCTCAGCAAGACGTCCCAGTCGAACGTCTGCAACACGCAGGTGACACGGCTCTGGTGGTTCTCTGCGGTGCTGTAGCAGCGTTCGGAAGAGGTGCACCGGACCATCATAGAGTGGAGGCATCCGCCAGGCGAGAATATGCTCTTAAAAAATGAGGAGTAGAATGCTAACGCGCACGTCTTTATTTGAAGTCCATGAGAGAGAGGGAGGGAGAGAAAGAGAAAGAGAGAAAAAAGAATGAGAGAGAGAGAGAGAGAGCGATATATATATATATATATATATATATATATATATATATATATATTGCGTGACATATATACAAATATATACAAATATTACATATTGTGTGACTGATTGGCATTTATTGCAAACAAATCACATTCTGTGTCCATTCCATTCGCACGGATATAAGTACACTCCTGTGCTACATGACGAATGCCGATAATCTTGTACAGCACATAACGTAAGCAGCATGATAGAAGCGCGCGCATCTCACCTCCCAGTCTTCAGGCCATATCGGAATGACTTCATTGAAGAAAAAGCTTCGCTTCAGCATCCATCCTAGTCCGGGTAGAGTACCAATCCTGAAGCAGCAGAGCGCAATGCTGTTTAAAGTCATGCGACGCGCGCTGGTGCCGTGTCGGTAGGCAAAATAAAACATCCAGCGCTATCAAAGATGACGCACGGTCCACGACAGGCAGTGCGTAAAGCTCTCGAGATTCACGTGGCTTGGACCATGCATCAACTCAGCATCCTCGCCGCCTCAACAGTGTGGAACAGAATCCAGAGCCGTGTTGGTTTACGTTCTCGTCGACCTCTTGACACTCCGGCTGAGGTCACAGAGGTGGCAGCACAATCTTGTCTCTCACCGGTATAGCATGGCTGGATCTCCCACCGTGTGCTGGTACCCATGATCATTCCAGGCGGATATGCAGTACAAGCTGACGTCCTTGTCAAGTAGATGGTGCGTTTGTTGGAAGTAGCTGGAAGTATGGGACATGGCGTCACCCAGCGCGCCACATTGCCGGGCCACGAAAGCCCAAAGGCGGCATACGGACGAATGGCTCGACGACGAAACCGCCGTCACTCTTGCGTGCTATCGCAATACCACACAGTAAAGTGGTAATACGTGTTGGTAACGCACAATGATAGCCGTCATTGGCGGAGCGAATGCTCGCTTTGCGTGCATAGCAACACCAAAATCCATGTGCCGGTCACGGACCTGAGAAAATCTGGTGCCACCTCCAGATCTTCTTCCAAGAGGACAAGTTTTTCAGCATCCGGGAACATGTTGAATGCTTGCTCTATTGTATATCTGGAAAGAGGGATCACGTTTCTGCTGCAGGATGTTGCGGGCTTGTCGCAATGCCAACACTCCATGTCAAAGGAACCAGGTGGTCGCTCCCTCCCAAGCACTTTCTTCCAAGTTTTCCTGGTACATACAATATCGCAATCGCTTTACGCCCATCGTATATGCATTGCTTAAGAAACGAAACAAATCAACTACCAGACACTGGTCACCCAGCGATTCGCCTTCTCATGCGTAACGCTTCATAGCAAACCTGTCATGCATATTGTCATTAGCCTACGGAAGATGTGCATTTATTTTCGTACAAAGCGCCCGTCTCCACCGGTGCCCAGGCCCGACCATAGAAGCCACTATACGAGGTCGGGCCCAGAGCACCCGTCCCCGCCGGTGCTTAGACCCGACCCCAGAGGTCACTACACCAGATCGGGCGCGGAACACGCGGGCCCAACGATGCCCAGCCCGGCTCCAGAGGTCACTACACGAGCTCGGGCGCGGAACGCCCGTCTCCGCCGGCGTCCAGACCCGACCCTAGAGGTCATTACACGAGATCGGCCCGGAGCACTCGGCCCACTGACGCCCATACCCGACTCCAGAGGTCTCCGCACAAGACTGAGCCGTGGCAGGATCGCCCCGCGCACGTGGTGGTCGTGCTTCCCGCGGCACACGCCGCACCTGTAGTTGAAGCCGATGCGCGTGCCGACGGCGCGGGAAGCGAGGCCGATCGGCTCGACCACGTGCCGGTGCAGCCGGATCCCGAGCAGCATCAACAGTTGCCGCACCTCCAGGAAGTCGCCGTCCAGAAACACCACCAGCCGGGAGAGGTCCAGACCGCGCACCGGCAGCAGCGACGACAGGCACCTGCGGCGACAGGGAGCGGCGCTGGTGTGGCACAAGACCGCCGCAGCGGCTGCTGAATGGAGCGTCGCGGCGTTGGAGACAGCAGTTGTTGCAGTGATGGTGGCTTAGAGCGCCGTGTGGGACACGGTAGCGCCGGGTGCCGGCATCGCTGCACAAGCCTGTAAGCCTCGTCCATCAAGAGACGGCAGGGTTGGAGACAGCAGTGAGGGTATAGCTGTGCAGCTTAGCGGGGTCAGTGCCTTGCCGTCGTCTACCCATCGCGCGGCCTAGAGGGGAAGATGTGGCAAACGCTGGTAAAAATTATGTCACCGTTCTGCATTTTGCAGACTAGGTGTGTTCCAAACTTGGCATTCGTGTCTGGCTGCAAGAAGTGCACGATCCAGGCAGAAATAGTACGCACCTGAACAAATATTGAGGTCGGTTGCTTGCCATTATGACGACGGGGAATTTGAAGAACGTGCCGTCTTCGAACTGTAAACGTACGTCAGAGCTAGGTAAGCTATAAGTCAACACTATTTAGAGCGGTGGCAGTCAAATATTTTAAAAGTCAAGCCGATTAATGCAGGTTCTTGAACTACAGGAGCTGCAGCAACCCGCAATGAGTTTTGAGAGAATATGGGCAATGCTAACAGCTGAGTGGCAAGTCATCACATATTTAACATGCGCGGGCATTTTCAGAACATCCTCTGTTTTTTCATCCATCGGGCAGTGGTTAAGTGAGGGACTGTTGCACAAAACAAACGGCTTCGCAGTTGCAACCTATGCAAAAGTGTGCCGAGGTGAACGCACTAGTGGCACAGGCAGGGAGGACAATGGGAGTATGTGCCCCTGTGCCTTTCCCTTAGATCCTGAGAGGCCCAAAGGTCCCCTCAGAACCGACGATTAAGGGCCCATTTGGGGCCCAAAGAGCCGGAAGGGCTTGCTGGAGGTCGTGTTAGGGTTCCTGGCCCTATGGGCAGAGACCTCAAACGCCAGCCAGAGTACCCTTCGCGCCGATTGAGGGCACCCTGAGCCGACTAGGCCCTCAGGTGCCGGTCAGACACCACCAGTACCGCACAGAGGGCTCCGTGTCGGTCTGGACCGACTAGGCCCTCAGGTGCCGGTCAGACACCACCAGTACCGCACAGAGGGCTCCGTGTCGGTCTGAACCGACTAGGCCCTCAGGTGCCGGTCAGACATCACCAGTACCGCACAGAGGGCTCCGTGTCGGTCTGGACCGACTAGGCCCTCAGGTGCCGGTCAGACACCACCAGTACCGCACAGAGGGCTCCTGATGTCGGGTACTGGACCGACTAGGCCATCAGGTGCCCCGGTCGACATCACCAGTACCGCACAGAGAGGTTCCGTGTCGGTCTGGGCCCGACTAGGCCCTCAGGTGCCGGTCAGGACACACCAGTACCGCACAGAGGGCTCCGTTGTCGGTCTGAACCGGACTAGGGCCCTCAGGATGCCGAGTCAGACATCACCCGTTACCGCACAGGAGGTGCTCCGTGTCGGTCTGAACGACTAGGCCCTCATTGCCGGTCAGACATCCACCAGTACCGCAAAGAGGGCTCCGGCTTATGTCAGACCAACACTCATTAACCGCCAGAGGGCTCCGTGTCGGTCTGGGCCGACTAGGCCCTCAGGTGTCGGTCAGACACCACCAGTACCGCACAGAGGGCTCCGTGTCGGTCTGGGCCCGAGGGCCTATTTTCCAAGCAGGGACAAGGCTGGAGCCCGTGATTTACAGCGGTCGAGGCCCCTGAGTGAATGAGGGGCACTTTGAGGCGACCAGAGGCCTGGAGTGTCTAACAGGGAGTTCTGTGTTGGCAAGGGGCCTCGAGTCAGCCGAGAGCAGTGTTCGAGGGGGCCTGTAGGTCCGATGGACCCTTCGGGACCGACGATGAAGGGTCCATTTGGGGGTCTATTAGAAGGCTGAAGGGCCCGAAGTGCCCGAAGGGCTGCAGATCACGTTAAGGATCCCTGCCCGTGGGCCGTTACCTGAGATGCTAGTCAGAATGCCTGTTGCACCGAATGAGACCCCCGTGAGACAACGCGGACACTATTTCAGCCAGACACCGCCAGCATCGGACAGGCGGCCTCGCTTCGGACTGAGCTGTGGGGACCCATTTTGCGGGTTGGAATAAAGCCGAGGCCGGCGATGTACATTGGTCGGAGTCCCTGTAACAGTGGGGGCCTACTGTCGGCCAAGAGCCCACGGTGACCGACAGGGAGTCCCGCTCGTCGGCACATGATCCGAAGTCAACCGGAGGCCGTTTTCAGCCGGGCACGAAAGGAGCCTAGGAATGGGTACGATGGGTTCTCGGGACCAGGGACTTAGGACCCAACTGGAACGCTGAGGGGCCCGAGGAGCCGGCTGCAGGTCATGTTAAAAGCTCCCGCCCGTGTTGCCGTGACATCAAGTGTCAGTCCGATGGTCTTTCATACCAATAAAAGACACCTGGGACAATGCGGTTTACCAGAGACCACCAACACCGAGCAGTAGGCTCTCGGTTGGGTGAGCCCAGGGGCCCATTTTACAGGCAGGGACGAGGCCAGGTCACGCGGTTTACATTGGTCGAGGCCCCTGTCACAATGAGGGCCACCTGTGTCAGTCAGCGGCCCACAGTGCCCTTCAGGGGGTAGTGCGTCGGCAAAGGGTCCCGTGTCGGCTAGAGGACGTTTGCTGAGCACGGACAGGTGCTGGACCCAGACTGTCAGAGGTCCTCTGGCGTTGGTCGGGTTCCTCTGAAATGAAAGGTGATACGAAAGCTTTGGTGCTCCCTGGCTATTGTTCTAGTTAAAAAAGTTAAAAACAAAAATAAAACGGCGAAAATCGTGCCTCCTCAAAATTAAGCAGGCGAAGAAGTGTACTTAGGGGCCTTTCACCACCAGGGACCCGTCGTCAGCCCTGTGCCCCCCCCCCCCCCCCCCCCCCCCCCCCCCCCCTCCCCTCTTATCGAGGCTCTGGCTGCGACCCTGGCTGGCTGGCTGTGCCAGATGAGGGTTGCCTCGGCCGACTGAGTGGACGCATTCATCGGTCTGATCTGATGCGGATATCCGTCACATCTAATCAAGCACATATCGTACGTGATGGAGCGTACCGGTTTGGGGGCATACTTGGTGGGCACCAGGTTATCGCAGTCACAAAGCCCGCGGTATCCGTCATGCTTCTGGCAGAATGCTGCCCTCTCGCTGTGTTCAGGCGTTTGGAGTTGGTCGCACACAGCCTCTGAAACAGAAAATACAGAGGGTAATGCACCCAAGTATGATGTGCTTTAAGAGAGTGTGTATCGAATGTATGATGATGCTATATAATGTACCAGAGAGACAGAAGGACCATAAAATTATGACATGCATGATGACGGCGTAAGAGAATTCCCAGGAGATAGCTTTTCAAGAGTGCTGAATGCATGGCGAATGCATGAATGAGTGCAACTGTGGCAAGGATAAAATGTAGGAGCAGAAAAGTTGTGTGCAAGTTACATAAGTACCATGTCCACATAAAGTTTCCTGTTCGCTTATCAACATACCGGAGTCAAAATCTCACAATTCGAAATCAGAACCCCCATTAAAGAGCTCTGAGCTGTGCTATAGTTATAGATGCTCATGGGTGCTACAGCACAACAAACGCTATTTCAAAATTGAGTTTCCTTTCAGTTTGCACCAACCTCTAAAGGTCTTCTTCGGTACCGACACAGTCAGTCGGAGCGTGTAGCCGGGGTGGGTCCAGTCCAGCGCGTCCAGGTTGACGTTGTAGCCCTCTGCCAACACGTCTCCGTCTTTGACAGCGACCATGGCGAACATGGAGCGCATCTGCAGGTCCGGCATGTAGCTGGAGTTCAAGGCTCGAAACACATCCTCCGCCTTGGAATCCATGGAGAGAGCTGCTTCGCCCTGCGAAAATACGGCGGCAGATATTGCTGGAGTCCCAGGCTGTAACACGGACTACGCCTTGTACCTTTAAGAGAGCTGCCTCGCTCTGCGAAGTGAAGACGGCAGATACTGACTGGAGGCTGGAAGAAATGCTGTGAACCGTTTGAGGGAATAATTCCACGAGACCTGTGACGTCATTAGTTTTATGAAGTGTACCACCATACTATTGTCTACACTGGCATCACCGGGGTATTGATCTCCGCTTAGGCCCGAAATCAGTGCGAGAGGACAAACAGTCCCTGGCTGCGCTGGATTGATCCTTGGCAGCCTCGCCGCTTTTGCCACCATCGGCAACGAAGTAGAAGTTAGTGCGACACCCCCGTGAATTGGACAGTCGAGTCGTTAGATTAAAAGTGTAAAAAGTGGACGTGGCACCGAATCTGGTCTGCAAACGTTATGCAGGTCCTTTGTACCATCCGTTACAGCTGCCTAGTCAGGCTGCGTTAAACGTGGTTAAACTGCGCGCTTGCTGTCGCAGTCGGCAGTCGACAGAAAGAAATCCAAGGTGTGTCAAATGTCGGCAGAAATCCAAACTTATCGGCTAGATAACGAAATACCCCGAACGGGACCTGCCAAAACTTCGTTTTGATGAGCTGACCTTTTGAGGAGACACTTCAGGAGACACTGGAGTGACATCGCACCCCCGGTTCGTTAATGCAAACGCGTGGCGATTACTATCGCCGGGCGTGCTCACCATTGTGCAGAAGGCGACGATCCGTCCCTTCTGCACGTTGTTGAGGAGTTCCTCCATGCCGTAGAAGGCGCCGTTCGGGTCATGACCCGTCGCGTGTACATCTGCCGTCCTCTCTCCCGAGGTCGGATGCACGACCACCGCGTACGTGCCTTCCATCGACATGTGGGTGCTGAAGTATGACGGGGGTGGCTTGGCATCCAGCTTGTCGCGGTACAGGACCTGCGGCACGGGCGACGAGTCTGCTGATGACGTTCGGGTGATGGCAGGAGCCGCTGGTCCTTTGGACTGCAGGTGCACACGGTGGTGGCTCGTCCTTGGAAGGGCCCCACATATTTCTAGTTGATGGCACGTGCGTTTGTAATAACGCTACAAGGTTGCGTACCACGCCCTGACGTGTCCACCGAACGCGGTCTCAAATGTTAACGATTTATGTCGACCGCAAATGACCGCAGGCAGGAGTTTTTAGACTTTACCGGTGTAGATGACGAAAACGTCTAGTTTATCAAGTAATCAATTTCCAATCTGGTGTAACTATCAAACACGTCGAAATTCCGCGACAAATTAAGCTAAGAAGATATCTGGATAGTAGACAGCTATCGCAGTAATGCCAAGATGTGACGGATCGAGGACACCTTCGATAACGTGCACGAATGCAAGCATATCCTGCACATTGTTGCGTCATGACAAGTGGACAAAGACACTAAGTAAACCAGAGCGCATTAAGCACATACTCTCACTGGAAAATGCAGACGAGACCCCCCCATCTAGTCAGGTAGATGCAGCAAACCTTGACCAGTGAACGATCCACTCACGGTCTTCCCGTTCACTTTCACCACGCAAGACCGGGGACGAGAGAGTACTTCGATGAAAAGTTCTTCTTTGACTGCGGCGCCGAGCGAGTCATCCGAAAAGAGATCTTTTTCTTCCACGAGACTACCAGCGACGTCTGTAACGGTGTATGATATTTGCAGCACACTGGTGTTTATGGTACAAGTACGAATGGCGGCGATAAACGAATTCAGAACAGGACATGCCGCGCAGATTGAAAGCAGACATTCAACATAAATCAACATCAGCACAATGCGCGTCAGCCTTCTCCTCTCCTCCTCCTTCTTCTTCTCCTCCTCCTCCTCCTCCTCCTCCTCCACCTCCTCCTCCTCCTGTTCACCATCCCACTATCATCATCATCACCACCGTCGTCGTTGTAGTCATTATCATCATCATCGTTAACATCATCGTTACTACCGTTATCATCGCCATCATTGTCATCATCATCAGCAGCAGCAGCGGCAGCAGCAGCGGCATCGCTATCATTATTACAATCATCATACTTAATCCATGCATACAGAACACTTGAAGTGTATGAACGTACTTTGAAGCCTGGGGTTTAACCGAAAGATTGTATACTGGTCACAACAGGTGCAATGTAAATTTGGTTGAGGGCGAAGGCCAGATTTGTGCAAAATATGTGGCTAATGCGCTGTCTAATGTTATTCGTATTTCGGTAACTTTATGTGATTGCCGTAGTTTTCTATCGCATAGAGGGATCGAGACAGACATCGGGGTTGAGAAGACACGGACAAGGGCCCAGCGAAGAGGTATATCAGCTACAAAAGTCTGCTGAGGGCCGCAGTTTAAAGTTTTCTGAACGACTGACGCTTTGAGATAAAACGCATCTTTGGTTTCACTCGGTAGAGGTGGTCCATGTTGAGAGAATTCAGGATACGTGTTGTTGTTTTTTTTTTTTACATATTGTGCTACTCTTCCGGCTCACAATCAAAACATCCCGTGTTTAGCGCGAAAGTCGGGGATCCAGCCCCCCCCCCCCCTGCGCCACTTCCCATGCCCAAGTGCATTAATCTACACCTTTAGTAGTGCAAATGCCCTTCTATTTTTGCCACATCCCTAGAGCTGAGTCATTATAATGAAGTCTAGGTTTTGTTGAGGCTGGAGTATTGCATACCTCACCTATGGCTTTAATCTTTCTACCCTGATAGGTCATCGACATATTATCTCGTTCTCGAGGGCCTGCACTGAAACAATGTGGATGATCAGTCAATAATGCCCAGTGCATTCGTGACTTATTTAGCGCAGCCAAGGTCCATGCATAACATCCATAGCATTCAATATGCGCTGCAGGGTGTACTGACCTTGTTCAAGGGCGTCTGGCCCACTGGCCAAACTCAGGCCAAATGACATCCCGCAATACAGCACTATCAGGATCAGGCTCAGCTCTGAAAGAAAGTGCATGGAGGTTAGTGCCACCTTGCGCTTATAATAGCATTCTTAGCGCACACATCGCGGGGGGGAAGGGGTTCCGCGAGCTTTCACCGACGACAAACGTCGGCGCAAGCCACGTGGCATTCTATTTGCTTTCTTTTATGTCATAGACCCTAGCTTGATGGGAACTGTTCTGACACACCACGTTCTTTGTTCAGCATTATGCAACACAATGTTCAACAGAGCCGGACAGCCATTAACATACCTGGCTGCGTAGCCAGGACAGACTATCCCTTCGAAAATCTGGCACAGCTAAGTTGATTTCCAAGGAACACGTATCTACAGCACAGTTGCAACACTAGGTTTAATTTTTAGCAGACCTTTGGACAAGATTTTCGGATTTTGGAAATGTGTCTAGGTACAGGCAGTTTACGTGGGAGATATTTCCTGTCGCATTTCCGGTTCGTCTAAATCTTCAGAGACTCGTCCGCGTCATGTGGCCGATGGTGGGTCAGGCCTCAGCAATGTAAACATCGCACTATGCTGCACACTGCGTAGTGTGCTCGCCATTGAGTAGATGCATCTATCATTAGGTACTTCGATGTAGCATGATATATCACAACTTACGGATCATATTCCCCATTTGCCTTGTTGCCACAAACCAAACAGCTACTTGTTCAGCGTCTGGTCACAATTCCTGTCAGTTCGTGCCGCCGCTGTTAGCTTCTCTCAGTCCTTTTGACGGTGAGAGACCAATGCTCTCAGTTATCAGATACAAATGATAAGTAGCCACCGTCGTATCCTGTCATCCGACGTCGTATGGAAACGTGCACTGTTTCAACTCGGCTCAGCTATCACTTCACCCGACTGCACTCGTGGCTCAGCTGTCACTTCACCCGACTGCACTTTTGCTCGTAGACGCTGTTTATCAATCGCAGAGGAGCACCGCGCAGTCGCAATGTTCCGCCTACACCCAACTACTGTCTTGCACTGCTTCACAGTTTTAATGTCATACGCTGCACAAAAGCAATTTTGCAATAGTAATGCTCACACTCACAAAATACGGCAGCATTGTGCCACTCGGTTTTCACTATTCCAGTACTCCGATATTTGTTGTCTACACTGTTGCGCTATTGCACCATTGCACAGTTGAGTGTTGCACCATTGCACGCATGCACTGTTGCACAGACACCTTGCAGCGGACGTCCGACCGCTGCTCGGCCTGCCGACTGTGACTGCAGAGGCAGCGGGCTGCTCTCCGCGGAGGTCAGTGGCTCCTCCGGCCTGCCGCCGGCGCTGTGGACGGGGTGAGCCCGGGCGGAGCCGGTGGAGAGGCCGGCCACCATGCAGAGGTGCAGAGACGTCTGGCGGTCAGAGCATGAGACGGCCGACACAGCATGACCCGGTCAAGTGACGTCACGGGACACGGCATGATCCCGCTAAGTGACGTCACAGGGCGTGGCGTGATCCAGCCAAGTGACTTCACGGGACACGGCATGATCCCGCTAAGTGACGTCACGGGACATGGCATGATCCCGCCAAGCGACGTCACAGGACACGGCATGACCCAGCCAAGTGACGTCACGGAACACGGTGTGTGCGCGGAGATGCACAGGTCGACAGACCTGGGGCTGGGCAGTGACGGGTTTGGCTCCTGAAACCGAAATGTGCAGAGTTCGAGCAATTCAGCAGTGAAGGCCAAGTACTAATCATCTTTGTGTCACCCAGCCGGCAGGCACCTTATCAAGCGCTTCCGAGCGTTTGGTGACAGATAAGGCGAAATGTGAGGGATTTATCTTAGGGTTCTGGTCACTTTGTGGGTCTGCCTCATTAGCGTCATAAACCGTCAGCCCGCCTGCCGGGGTTGCAGGTTGGAAGTATTGCGTGAAGGGGTGATATCCATGTACTGAATAAAAGCTCCGACGCTTTAGGATTCAGCGATATTGTGCACCGTCGTATGGCCACCGATGTCATCCGCAAGAACACTGGAACGGCACCACGCGCGGTAAATTGCATCCAGCACATGGGTGTAACAAATGCGAAACGCTCTTCACCTTGAAATTGACGATTTCGGTGAGCGTGGTATGTACTAATGCTCTGCATAGATAGATTATGCACTTAAAGCAGTGCAATTTATTGTTCAATTGGGCGTATGGGTTTCAGCCACCACCCCAACCCCCAACTTGGACTCCCCCCTCCCAACTGTTGAATGAAAGGGGGCGAAATATCGGGAGAAATCTGTTGCCATGTGTCGGGGTAGTTTGGGTCATTTTTACTGTTCAGCCCCCCCCCCCCCCTTAACCCCCATTCCTCTAACTCTTTTGTGAATCTACGCTCCTGACTTAAAGGCTCTTCCTCTGTTTTATTGTTGGTCCTTGCAAACAAGATGACTTAGACTTTATGCTTTGCTTTAAATCCCTATAACTGTGAGCCATTTTGCAGTTCGAAGAGCCGGTTCAGCAATGCGAAGACGACTGGGTAAAATTATGCACACTACACCGTATTTTTCAACGGCTGTTTGGAACAAAAGAAAACAAACAAAAAACAGTGAAGTGACCACACTTGCGATTGCTGGTTGCTAGTCTCTGGGGATGTAGATATACATGTTGAAAGACCAGGACTAAGGCGGCATTTACTTGGCAGTACACTTATAGCGAATCTTAACGTTACATGCGGGATGAGCGGACGTCGAAATGTGGGCACGAAGTCAGTAATGTCTCACCTACAGATCGACACCGAGCCCAATAAACCCCGCTCATCTCCGGCCTGGACCAGTTGTGTGAAGTTCATGGTCAGAGTCCATGAGCCACGTCCTCTGACCGGTGGCGCCCCTCTCTTCCAGACGGCGTCCTCCCTCTCTCTCTCCCGGCCGGCCGGGTGCAGGTCCCTCCGTCCGCCCGTCTCTCCGAGCGCCCGGCGTGCGGCCCGGTGCCGGCGGCGGCGGAGGCTGCGCGGTCGCGCGGTCACTGACCCCGGCCTCGGCCGACGCGGCTCGGCCAGCCCCGGCAGACGTGTCCCGGCCGCCGCACGGGTCCACCATGTTCACGAGAGCCGACGACTACGGCCGCGCCAAGAAGACGGACGCCCGCCGACAAGAGACTCGCAGTGTGCTCTCGCTATCGACGGCCGGCTTCTGCGTGGCCTGCCTCGTCTTCCTGCTCTTCGTGTACGATGGGAGTCAGCCGAAGGCGGCGCGCGCGCGCAAGAGCGGCGTTCAGTTGGACGAGGACGGGTTCGAGATATGCCACGTGCCGGCCATCCAGCGGCCGGAGGAGTTCTTCGACGACATCGAGACGGTGACGGCCGACTGTCGGAGCATGGTGCAACTGGGCAAGACGGCCGTCAGCGAGGTGCTGCACGGGGAGTGGGGCACCGCCACCAAGTGCAACGAGACGGCCGCCCACTTCCAGTGGATCTGCCTGGACAAACGGTGAGCGCGCGCGCGGTGGAGTGGTCACCGCTCGCGTGGGAGCTGGGAGGGAATATGCCGACTGATCAGGCTCGGGCCAGCCCAGTGAATAAGACATGTGGAAGAGGTGGACAGTCTTTAGTTAGCTCTCCCCAAAATGGAGGAGCGAGCCTCTGGCCAGGACGCAGCCTGCCAACTGTCATATGTGTGCCGTAAGATTACCTTGTCTGACTCGCCACCGAAACCAAACGAATCTCGCGCGTCATCTAGTAGTAAACTGTCGACTGCGGTGTTCGAAATGACATATCAAGATCTTGTGAACTTGTATTGCATCCAGCAGCTAACGGTTCTTGCAAAACTTGCTCGCTTCTGCTGTCAGCTCATTTCGTTTTTAGTTTAGGGTATGGGTGTGACAGCGTCTCTGAGATTGAGGGGACAAATAAGCGCTGGTGGGAGGCAAACTGAAGTCCGGAATGAGCAACCTAACCTGAAAATGTTCTTTAAATGGGCAAAACCTGAGAAATATGCATTTATGGGCAAACTTGGGGGGACAAAGTCATTTCGTGAGTATCTGGCACAATTTATGTACTTTCCTGCCGTTTCATGACAAGCTGTCACTCCCTCTCAATTCATAAAACAGATCCATGCTGGCTCTGACGCCAGTAAGCACACAGCGTCTTATCCGGGAACAGAGGGATGAAATCGCTGAATTTCGCCGCGCGCTGGCTTGTTTAACTTTCAACCGTTTAGTGCAATCCTGGCGAAAACACATATGGCTGTATTCAGCCAGCAATTGGTTGGTTTCAGTCTGAGAAGTGCTTGATTTCGTCACTTAAGTGCTGCATATGAAACGGAATCAGAAACAATCAAGGTTAAAGTCACCGATAACACTGCATCTCAAAACTACGGCGTTAACATTGTGGGGCGCTTTTTGCTCTCGTTAACAACTACGCGCTTGGTCCACCGCGTTTGGCATGACCGGGCATGTCATTGCACGCTACAGCATTTGCGTGACACCGGCATTAGAGCTGAGGAATCACTCATTTTGTCTTCCAACGCTATGAGTAGGAGGATTCGGATATGGATTCGAATTAGATGTTTTGATACGTTTGGATAGATTCAAAACTTTGATCGAGATGTCAAACTAATGTTACGTATGATGAAGAGAACGGCCGACTGGGACCGATGCACAACCGGCATAGACGTGTGAAAATCAGCCTATATGAAGGGAATGTGAAGCTGGATCACAGTTTACATACTTAGATGCATATTTTAATGACGACCTGCATAATTTGGTGTCGTTTTTAGGATCGGAATCCTGATTTTTAAGGTCGAAGTTCTCGTCCGTAGAATCTGGAGATCCGCGATGTTTGAATTTATTCGAATCCATTCGAATGCACCAATCCGAATCCTCAGCTCTGATATACATCCATGCGTGTCAACGTGCATTTGTCATGGATGACAATGCATGCTCCGTGACTTCTCTATGGATTTTGGTAAGTTTTGTCTTCTTTTGCATCTAACCGTCTTGGAGTGAAGCATGCGTTGGCTACACTTTACACCAAATCAACGCTAAGCGTCAAACACCTGTCAAACAGCATAGACAAAAACATCAGTTGGTGCTGGTCTGCGCACCGTTCGGAGCAAAGCTACAGTCGGTAACAGCAAGCGTAGCTTTACTAACAAGTAACTAGCGTTTATCTTCCCACTCAGTATTGAAGTCGCCATTCTCCGCCATGCCATATCGCCACCAATTCCGCAACGCTGTGCTGCGTGGTTCAAACCCCGCGGCACCCGACGCTGTGCTGTGTGGTTCAACCCACGCGGCACCCGACGCTGTGCTGTGTGGTTCAACCCACGCGGCACCCGATGCTGTGCTGAGTGATCTAACCCACGCGGCGCCCGACGCCGTGCTGCGTGGTTTAAGCACTTGACGCTGTGCTGTGTGGTTCAACCCCGCGGCACCCGACGCTGTGCTGTGTGGTTCAACCCCCGCGGCACCCGACGCCGTGCTGCGTGGTTCAAACCCCGCGGCACCCGACGCTGTGCTGTGTGGTTCAACCCCCGCGGCACCCGACGCCGTGCTGTGTGGTTCAACCCACGCGGCACCCGACGCTGTACTGTGTGGTTTAGCCCCCGCGACAGCCGACCACTGGCCGACGCTGGCGCAGTGTCACCCTCGTCTCGCTGGTGTTGGCAGGCTGAAGATCACGCCGGGCAGCTGCCTGACCTACTCCATCGGGGTCGACAAAAGCTTCACGTTCGAGACGGACATGGAGCGGCTCGGGTGCGAGGTGTACGCGTTCGACACCCTGGATCAGGTCGACGATCACCAGCGCTCCGATCGCATCTGGTTCCAGAACATCCGCGTCGGCCTCAATTCGTTCGACGCGCTCCGCCAGGGCAACACCGTGGAGCGCGCTAGGAACTTGCACCAGGTGGTGGAGAGTCTCGGTAAGAGGCGACGGCACGCGCAGGATGGGGAGAGGACTCGCGGAAATGCGACGGACCTGTCCCCGGGCTGAGCGACTGGCAGCAACGCGCCGCTATTGGGACACTTATTGGCGTGCGGGGGATATGTGGATGGGCCGACTGACGTGAGGGTAACTTACGACTCGCAATGATGGGCTCTGATGTGAATGCTGTGAAGTGCTATTTGCCGGTGGTATTTAGTTCTGTGGTTTTGTTTGTGTGTCGATCACATGGTTGAGTTCGTCGGTGTACATTTTACATGATTATATTTATACTCACATTTGATTACGGACTGTAGCTCAGTTCTATTCAGATGAGGGTTACAGCCACTTTACTTTGAGATGAGGGTCGAATTCAAGGAGAAACCCGCTTTTTATGTATTTGAAGGGAAAGTCAGCAATTTTTTCCAGCTCACCCCGAACTTTGCGGGTCAAAACACCTGTCCTGGTTTGAGGCAACAAACGTCAAGATAAGTCACTCACATTTCGCGTAATATGCTCCAATACAAGCCTGGACGGGGGCTTAGCCCCGCAAAATGAGTAGGGAGGGTGGCTAAGCAGTGAAACATGACGCGACCTTCCTTTAAAATACAGCAACAAATGGTTTCTTCTCGGATTTTGCTCATGTTTAGCTCAGAGCTGGGTAGGGTTGTTGTCAAAGTTGGGGGAAGGGGGAATGGAGTCTCCCCCATCTGAAAAGGAAACTGCAACCATGCACTTTTGGTGACACGCTGTATTGCCATGGTCCCTCAAAGGGCATCCAAGAAAATTAATATAAATAACATTGCGCGCTTTTACATGTTTTATGCTGCACAGGTTTCTCACGCATGGCAGCCCGATCTGATGAACGCATTGGTCCGAATGATCAACAGGTTTTCGGTTGGACCCAAGCGGCTCTGCCGGTGAGATCCCTTCCGTGCCATCCCTGACCTGGCCGTCCTGTCGCCGCAGGCCACAAGCACCGCACCATCGACGTGCTGAAACTGGACATACGCGACCACGAGTGGGAGGCGCTCGACGAGTTCGTGCGCTCCGAGGTGCTGGACCAGGTTAAGCAGCTGGTGATCACGCTCAACTTCAACCGGCCGATCAACTCGGAGCACCCGCACATGCTGATGGAGCAGCTGCTGACCTACTACCAGCTGCTGCGCATGTTGGACTGCGACGGCTTCCGTGTGTTCTCGTCCAAGGGCCGAGGCGAGCCGGTGCGCGCACACGGCATGAAGCGACACTTCTACCCCGAGTACGAGATCTCTTACGTTAACACCAACTTCTACCACTGAGTGCACTTTCCGGCTACGGCGTCTCCTCCTGCCCGTGACCACAGTCACGGGGCTGGCTGCTGCCTCGGCCGTCCGGGTCCGGCTGTCGGTCGTCTGACCGTTGAACTCAACCCCCACCGTCGCAAACCGCACCGGGTTCGGGACGGACAGAAGCTCGCGGCTCACAGTCGCCCCTTCGCACTGTTTCGCCTCGCACCGGTGGATGATGACACGTCGTCTGTTTCTGGCTCACCATGGGGCTGGGCTCTGACGTCTCAGTCCACCGCACCCCGCAGTGACCGCAGTTGGGATTGTTAACACCGAGCCGTGGTAACTCGAACTCGACGGTCAGTCTGAGCAGCGGAAGTGGTTCGTGAAGCGAGCGAGGGAACGCGTGCATAAGTGCAGACGAGAATAATGGGCTAAAAAGGTGTGGCCGGTGTGGACAGAAACGGGTTTATTAGACGGCCATGTGGTTTTGTGTTTCATTTGTTCTGTGCCATGTAATCAAACGCAAGAGTAGGAATCATTAAACTCGCAAATAAATATCCAGAGCAATGGGGAACTGTACGTTACGGACACTAAGCTTCCCTGCCGTATCACCCGGCATGGGGCTTATGCTCGCACCGGATGTGTAGTTGGAGACCTGCGGAGATCCACGAGTGTCGAGGTTTCGATTTGTGTTCTTTTCGGGGGTCACTGCCCCCCCTCCTCATGTACATTTTGGCCCCCTCAATGATGAGTTTGGCCCTCAGCCTTCTCAAGCCAGAGTACAAACAGGGCACTGCTGAGCTAGTCACAATGCAAAAGCTTTGCGTTCGTACTGTGTTTGCTTAAGCATTTTCTGTCGATTCTTGCATGACGCATGGTTTTGGTAACACGACTAATATGCCTTTATGACATGTTATTTCATCATGCTACGATACGATGCGTCATCAGAAATTGAAAACAAATCGGTCAAATGTTGGCAGTCAAATGCGTGAAAAAATTAGCCCAACGTTCGAAAGAAGCTTTGAAGTGCGCCGATCTACAATTCGACGTAACTATTCGATGGAATAGTTCGAAAACTTTACGATGTACACCAGTCGAACCTGTAGCGGTACTCATCTGACAATGACCGCTGAAACAGCACTAGCCGTGTCAAACATTCCTAACTCGTGTGCTGCCTTGCAGCCTGCAGCCCGCCTTACGGCTACCAGACGGGGATTTTCGTGGCAGCCTTTAGTAGTCGCGCACATCAACTTACCCTCTTCACTCTCAAAGCTGCACACGTCTAACAACGTCTGAAGCCACGTAACATGAACCCTGCATCGATCACCGAAACCTGGCTTCGTCGGTATCTGGCACAGTGACCCTAGTTCGGCTTATCGGACCCCTGGTCGAAACGGGGCGTGTAGCATTACGTTTGGTACTGCCGTTTTACCCTTGTTAGGCATTCTGGGCCTCTGACCAGCAGAGGGCCTCCAATATTGCGGGTCCCCTATTTCGGGTCTTCCTAGATCCAATATTGCAGGTCCCCGAGCAGTGCAACAGGTCTTCTGAGTGAGCTTCGTAGGCTCCGGTCTTGCCTCTCCTGTCAAATGGGCCCCAGGGTCAAGGTCGACACGGAACGGACTTTTCGGTATTGGAGGTCAGCCCAAGGGGCCCTCTGACTGGCATTTGAGAGCCCAGCTCTACCGCCCGGATCCCATAGTTCAATCGGGTCCTTGGTCACGGTCCACAGGAGTCCTTGGTGGGCTGTTCGGGACCCAGAGAGGGTCATGTACTTTTGTCGCCCACTTGCGTGCGCCCAGATTGTGGGCTCTTAGAACTTGCTTTTTCGTTAAAAATCTAATTGTGGTGGTCTATGGCAGTGTGTATTTGTTAAGATATAGATTGTATGGCTCAAAAGAAACGCTCAAATGATCTTTTTGCCGTGGGTCGATCCAGGATTTCGTAAAGGATGAGACGAGGGAATTACGGTGTTGCTGGAGTGCGGTACTCCGCAAATATTATTTTGCACACATTTAAGCACTGATAGGATATTGAGCCTTTTTAGAATACAGATTATGGAGTCCGAAATAGTGCAAATGTGGGTACACTGAAAACTAGGGGCAGCGTGCATGCATGTTTTTGGCGAAGTGCCGATCAAAAGAATGTTTCGGATGGAATCAATCAACACGGACCAAGTCATATCATTAAGTGCGGCAGCATCCGTGGAGGCAGTTGCAGCGGCGGCAAAGGAGACAGAAGCGCCATCGGGTGGCGTGGGGGAGACGAGCCACTCAGTTGCACCCGTTGAGGAGCCGGCGGGGAGTGGGTGGCGGCAGCGGCTCAGCTGCTGACGACAGGTTCACTATGTCACCGCCAGGGGCACACCTGGTGCCACGAGGCGGTCAGCTTGGTCGCGGCCTGCAGATCCATATGGCCGTGGCGGGAGCATGGCTGACGCGTCACGTGGGAGGCGTGCGTTTTGAGGCTTGTCAGCTGCATGTCCTCTCGACGACCGATTCCTTTTGCTCAGTCTCTTCATCCCTCAAAATTTGTGGAGAGTGCTGCTGATGTTGTACAATGAGTTCAAACGAAAATGAAATCTAAAGTGATTAATTCCATCCAACGAGTATCACTTTTCCAATCACTTAACACGTGGCTCCTGACTTCGTAATGTCGATCACCGCCATATTGCGCTGCGCTCAACCCCTCTTTAGTCTAGCTGTGCCAACAACATTCCGTGAAAGTCAGGCATTGACTCTCTTTCAATGGACAGAAATATAGGAATGGCTTGCCAGTCGAAAAGAGTTATGGATGCTCATCGTGTCAATCAAGATACTAAGGTGGCGCGTCAGGGGTTCGACGTGATGTTGGTTTTCGGCGATATATTCGATATTCCCGTTGGCCAGCAATGCATCATGTATGTCAGTTCCTCAAAACTGACCAGCATGGGTCGCCCCCGGGTGGGCTCGAACCACCAACCTTTCGGTTAACAGCCGAACGCGCTAACCAATTGCGCCACGGAGGCCCGTGATATCCCATATCCGACTCAAATCCGTGTGGTTGTATCACACCTGTTTATCTCTTTATGTCGATTCAACGTGATAATGCATCTCCTGATCCTGTCACAGTAGCGGGCAGCGAGTCCTTGCTCAACTTGTGACTGGACGCGCAATCCCTTAAACACTCTGACCGCGGTACCGTCTCCCAGTCCAGAATCTCTCAAACCCTGATGTTTCATGCAGGACCTGGTCGGTTGTTTGCATGCCTCAGGCCCGGAGGCGTCACTTTATGTACTTTCAGAGGTTTGAAAGCCCCCCCCCCCCCCGCCCTCGTAATGCTGACTTGAGTCCTCCTAATGCTTAGAGGAGCATCAGGTGGAAAGAAGAAAAGAGTTGAAAAAATGACGGCGTAGCATTTTTAAGCCATTATTTAGAAGGACGGTCATACACGTTACAGGTAACAGAGGTTTGCCACCATTCACTACAAAGATGCCTGTGCGAATGGTCCGGAGCTGATCCATCAACACGGCCCAAGTCATGGCATTAAGTGCGGCAGTATCCACGTACGCGTCTGCAGCGGCGGCAGCAGAGGCAGAAGCGCCGTCGGGTGGCGCGATGGGGACGAGCCACTCCGTTGTATTTACGCTCACAAATTGTATGTACATGCGAATTCACATCGTATGTACCTTCACCTGCAACGTCAAAAGGTCCTGCCGCATGAGGCTATCTCCTGGTCAGTCCTTAGTCAGTCAGTGCAAATGTGGATGCACTAAAAACTCGGGGAAGTGTGCTTGCATGTTTTTGGAGAAGTGGCCGATCATGGAATGTTCCGGGTGAAATCATTAAACACGGTCCAGGTCATATCATTAAGTGCGGCAGAATCCGTGGACGCAGTTGCAGAGCCAGCAGCACAGGCAGAAGTGCCGCGGGGCGGGGCGAGGGAGGCGTGCCGCTCCGTTGTATCCGTTGGGGAGTCGGCGGAGAGGAGGCGGCGGCGGCGGTTCAGCTGCAGACGACAGGTTCACTATGACGCTGCCAGGGACACGCCCGGAGTCGCGCGGGCGGCTTGGTCCCGGCCTGCAGATCCGCATGGCCGTGGCGGAAGCATAGCTGGCACGTCACGGTGGCGTGCACTGCGATGCCTGTCAGCTGCGTATCCTCTCGACGGCCGAGCCCTTTGCTTTGTCTCTTTATCCTTCGAAGTTTGTGGGGAGTGCTGCTGATACTGCACAATCAATTCAAACGAAAATGAAACCTAAAGCGATTAGTTCCATCCAACGAATATCACGTTTCCAATCGCTTAACACATGGCTCCTGACTTCGTAATGTCAATCATTCCCATATTGCGCTGCGCTCAACCCCTCTTTAGTCTAGCTGTGCCACAACATTCCGTGAAAGTCAAGCACTGACTCTCTTTCAATGGACAGAAATATAGGAATGGCTTGCCAGTCGAAAAGAGTTATGGATGCTCATCGTGTCAATCAAGATACTAAGGTGGCGCGTCAGGGGTTCGACGTGATGTTGGTTTTCGGCGATATATTTGATATTCCCGTTGGCCAGCAATGCATCATGTATGTCAGTTCCTCAAAACTGGCCAGCATGGGTCGCCCCCGGGTGGGCTCGAACCACCAACCTTTCGGTTAACAGCCGAACGCGCTAACCAATTGCGCCACGGAGGCCCGCGATATCCCATATCCGGCTCAAATCCGTGTGGTTGTATCACACCTGTTCATCTCTTTATGTCGATTCAACGTGATAATGCATCTCCTGATCCTGTCACAGTAGCGGGCAGCGAGTCCTTGCTCAACTTGTGACTGGACGCGCAATCCCTTAAACACTCTGACCGCAGTACCGTCTCCCAGTCCAGAATCTCTCAAACCCTGATGCTTAATGCAAGACCTTGTCGGTTGTTTGCATGTCTCAGGCCCGGAGGCGTCACTTTATGTACTTTCAGAGTTCCGAGCGCCCCCTCTTGTTACGCTGACTTGAGCCCTCCTAATGCTCAGGGGAGCATTAAACGAAAGGTAGAAAAAAAGTTGAAAAAATGACAGCGTAGCATTTTTAAGATATTATTTAGAAGGACGAGCATGCATGTTACAGGTAACAGAGGTTTGCCACCATTCAGTACAAATTTGTCTGTGCGAATGGTCCGGAGCTGATCCATCAACACTGCCCAAGTCATGGCATTAAGTGCGGCAGTATCCACGTACGCGTCTGCAGCGGCGGCAACAGAGGCAGAAGCGCCGCCGGGCGGCGCGATGGAGACGAGCCGCTCCGTTGTATTTGCGCTCGCAAATTGTATGTACATGCGAATTCACATCGTATGTACCTTCACCTGCAACGTCATAAGGTCCTGTGGCATGAGGCTATCTCCTGGTCAGTCCTTAGTCAGTGCAAATGTGGATGCACTAAAAACTCGGGGAAGTGTGCTTGCATGTTTTTGGAGAAGTGGCCGATCATGCAATGTTCCGGATGAAATCAATAAACACGGTCCAGGTCATATCATTAAGTGCGGCAGAATCCGTGGACGCAGTTGCAGCGGCAACAGCACAGGCAGAAGTGCCGCCGAGCGGTGCGAGCGAGGCGTGCCGCTCC